TGTCACATGGCAGTGAATCGTGTAATGTCGACGAAATTATTCACCTATGTAACAGGCTTCTTAAAACATTTTGTTGTTGGTGCATACACACGGTGCCGGAGTACCGAATCTAATTCTTGCCTAAAATCTTCCGATTTTTTGTATCAAACCTGTGACGGTAGGAGTGGTAGCAGAATAGTCGCGAATCAACGTATATTAGGCAGAACTGTTCGAATCTTCTCTTTTCCCCTGAATTTTTTATTTGCATTGAATCTTTTAGTCTTACAATATTTGTTGCTCAGCCACACTCTCGCTCCAAGCAAAGTTATTAAATGATGGTTTCATCTTTAGTGTAGCTAAACGCAGATGTATGCAAAGGATTAGAATGATCTAAATTCCAACTTCCATACCTTTGGACATTACAGTGAACGGTTAGGTTCGTGTACAACGGCTATCGTTACTGCAATGCAGTGCGAACACAGGAATGGTTCGCTTCCATCACAGGCGTTGTCATAACATTAATACCGACTTTTCTGAAGTTCTCTGTGTCTCCAGATATGTAATAACTGGCTCCATTCGCTATTCTTGTTTCAAACTAGGTTGTGCCAGCATTTAGCAACAGTTCAATGATAGATGATCGAGTTTGACCGATTTTTTTGAGTGGAATCCATCTTTTACTGCCTGTTGATCAGAAATTATTTCTCGGTTTTGCACTGATTTCCGAGACCTCTTGCAATGCAGTCAGAATGCATTATCCTGATATTGAACAAAACAGTAATACAGTAAATTTCCTCATGCATTAAGAAAGTGATCATTCAATATACAACTTGCTTTTATGCTGTCTGTTACTCTTGGCGTCAAGAGTCGATAGTAAGTTGCACGACTGATCAGAAATTCATAAATCGATGGCATCTAATCACGATATCCTTATGTTATACAGATTTTTTCTACTCTGAAGAAGACTTTATCTCGTTCGCGTCATAACCACATTAACGGCTATTTTTTGGGCTGAGCGGACCTTGGCTGCATTTTGGTGTTATTCTTTTTCGCGAGCCGTTTCTTTGGTCGTTTTCTCCTGTTATGATGTTTTTGGTGCGGTGGTATACTGTACAGCAAAGACATCCTTTGCAAAGCGCTTTCTGGAATTAATAAGTTTTCAGTGATGCGATTCCTTCGCTTCCGTTTTTCGCTCTTGAAAGTGATATTCTTATTTTCTGCTGAAAATTTGCCTATTTACCCTTTATGAAGGATGCATAACATTGCTCAAATGCGTTGAGACTTGACCTAAGACATGACTGTACAATAAGTCTAGACTAATCCTTCGTCATGGGTTTAGACTTGGTTATAAATTTGACCTTGACCTGTCCTTAATTTGGACTGAGGCAGCGTGGGGCT